GCTGCCACTAGGGTCACCCACACTGCCTAGGGAAGTCCCTACTCTGTTCCCGATCCCAGCCTCCGGTTAACTCCCGCCCAAGGGGACGGCAGGGGATGGCTCAAGGGGCTGGGATCCCCCCACTCACAAGGAAGACCTGGGTTGGGTTCCTGGCTCCAGGCTTCATCCTGGCCCTGGCTGTTGAAAGCATTTGGGAAGTGAACCAAACCTCTCTCTCTCTCTCTCTCTCTTTCATAAACTAAGTAAACAAATAAAAATCCACACGGGTTGGGGGGCAGCTGGAACAGTGCCCCAGGGGAGATCAGAGATTGCCTTCCTAGACAGTGGCTCATCAAGTTCCTGAGGGTAGGGGCCCCCTGGCCCCTCCAAGGGTCTGTGCCAGCCCCCGCTTCCCGGGAGGCCCCCTCCCCAGCTGGAGGGCAGGATCGAAGACCCTCACGGCAGGTCTTACCCTGACCAGTAAGAGCCCCAATACTGTCTGTCCCACTCAGGGACCTGGGGCCTGGGGGAGGCAGGCTGACGGACGTTGGAGGGGCTTTATGACCCAGGAGCACGCTACACCCAAAGGCCATGCAGCCAAGAAGACATCAAAGCAGGTGTTGGCTCCCACCTGCCCTGAGAGTAGCTACCGTGGGGCACAGCACAGGGCTCAGAGCCCAGATAAGGGGCCCCTGCTCCCTACCCCAGAGCTCATCACTAGCCCACCACTGGTCCCCTGCACCAGCACTCACCCTGTCACCCTGTCACCCCTTCCTCCCGAGGGTGATGTCTCACGGAGAGCCGCAGCCCCACCCATCGGGCACGTGGCCCCCATGACGCTGAGGCGTCCACCTGTCCCGCATCACGAGCCTGGGGTACGGTGAGGGCCCAAGGCCCAGAGGGGTCAGCGGCTTGCTCACCCAGCTCGGCAGGGCCAGGGCACAGACCTGAGTCCCGGTCACAGGGCACTGGCGAGCCAGAGTGTTCCCCTGAGGCGTTCCCCTTTCTTTCCCCACTCTGACCCCTAAGTCCTCTGCACCACCTCCCGTGGGGTGCTGCTGGCCCTGTACAGACACCTGAAATATCTGAGCCCAGTGTGGCCATGCCCAGTCCCGGGAAGCCCCGCCCTCTCTGAGTGGCAGGCACCCAGGGAGGGGAGGCCACCCCCGCCTCCCAGGGCAGTTGAGAGGCTTCAAGGAGACCACACACATACAGCCCTTAGAATGGTGCTGGCGCTCGCTGGGCGATCACTCCGGCACTGGGACCTGTGCATTTACACCTGCTGGGCACGGGCCCCGTAGGCCAGCACCAGGCTCTCCCCAGCTGTGGTCCCCAGCATCCCGCAGGGACTCAGTGGGGCGAGGTGTTCCGAAACCATCAGCAGATACCAGCAGAGACCCCAGAGAGGGGCCGAGACCCCAGCCCGGAGTTGGGGGCGCCTTGCAGAGCAGACACGAAGAGGGAATCTCTAAACGTTTAGAACAACTCGGGCGCCCCGTGCCCCTGCGCGGCACCGTGGGGATTTATAAAGAACAAATCATGCCTGACAAACGTGATAGCTTTCTTGATAGAATTACAAGACTGGCGGATGAAGGAAATGCAGGCAGGGTGATATATCTTGATTTTTAGCAGAGCAGTTGATACAGCGCCTCGAGTAATCTTACAAAATTAATTCAAACAGACTTGGCCCTAAGCGCTTGTCGGGAGGCTTGAAAGCAGAAGGGGGCAGGTCCCTGGAGGTGTGGGGGAGTTGGGCTCGGAGGTGGGGCGCCCAGGGGGAAGGGGAGGGCAGGGAGGAGTCCCAGAGTGGGGGCAGGGCGGCCGAGCCCCAGGCCTGGGTCCCATCTCACCCAACATCTTCATTAACGATCCCAAGCAAGGGAGTAAACAGCCCGTAAATGAAATCTGCAGAGGATGTTAAATCAGAAGGTGTTCCCAACACCAATGAGGACAGCAAAGGCGGTGCAGGGAGAGTGGGAAAGACCCTTGGCGGGAGACTGACAGCAGGCAGGGTGGAGGGCGCTGAGCCATCACTGCTCCCCACCCCCCAATCTCCCCGGGGTAAGCCCTGCTCCGGCCCCAGCTGGCTGGGCTGGACCCTAGCAGTGAGCTGGTGATGGGCTCGGGCCCTAAGCCTGCCCGGGGAGCAGGGCCCTCTGGCAGCTCTTGGCCAGTAGAGGTTCTGACCTGGGGGGAAGGAAGGGTCTGTCAGCCTTCGGGGGAGTTCTTAATGGTGCGTTGGCTGATCACCCACTGGAGGCAGCTGCTTCTCCAGGCGGGTGAACCAGCGTCTGCAGGATCTGGGGAGGTGGGCCGTCCCTCCCCACCCCCTTCTGTCCATCAGGGGGAACCCCGTCTCCACCCAAGAGGCTGCAGGGCCGACAGTGACGCAGAGGGCTGAGGCAGGAGAGCCACCTGGCACCTGGTGCTTTGCTCCCTTAAGGCTCGTGGACAAGTGGGCTCTGGGTAAGAGGCAGGGCTGCCTGGCGCCCTGCGGGGCCCTGGCAACCAGACAGAGATTCTCAATGGGAAGAAATGGGTGGCCGGCTGGGGAAGGGGCTGCAGGGTAGAACAGCCCAGGCGGGTGGCGGGACCACCTGCTGGGCCGGGAGGGTGGTGGCCAGGACACGTGAACACACAAGGGAGTTTCTTCCAATCCTTTAACAAGGAGGGCGCGAAGCGAACCACTTGCTGCTGTTCCCAACAGTAATGCACTTGACCTTCACAGCAGTGCAAGCTGGGCGCTCGCCTGCTCCCCACTTGACAGAGGAGGAAACGGAGGCGCCCGGGAGCCTTGGCACCCAGGCAGCAGGAGAAGCGGCAGCCTGCAGAGGGCCGCGGGGCTGCTGGGCCCCGGGCTCTGAGGGGGGCGCTCTGGCAGGGGGCGGGGGGGGCGGAGGGAGCCAGGAGCCCGGCCCGCGGCGCCTTTTCTCACTCTGCCGCACTTGTGGAGCCGGATTGTACTATATGGTTCCCCCACCCCCACCCCACCCCATCGCCGAGCTACGCTGAGTCCTCCGAACAAGTCTGTTTCCATGGCAACCATACAGTGACTCAGGGCTTCGGGACCTTCTCTGAACCAGATTATGAATATCAATGCTCACTCCCTGCTCGATGCAGAGCGGAGTTGGGAAAGTGAAGAGAGGCTCACAGGGGGCGAGCGAGGGGGCCTGGGGAACCGGGGGGTGGGGTCACACACCCTGGGGTGAGGGCCTAGCCTAGCACCTGCCCACCTCCCTCCCCTCTAACAGACCGCCCAAGCGCAGGTGGGCCCCTCCGGTACCTGACACCCCCCCCAACGTCAGTGCCATCAGCACCCCTGCCTCTGGAGCTGGGGCCCTCTGGGCTGGAGTGGGGGATGGGGTGGGCAGGGGCATCTACACCCCTCTTCCTCGAGGGGCCTACACAGAGCAAAGAAGCTCAAGGGGCTGGGGCTGGGGGCCGGGGGAGCTGTCTGTGGGAAGAACTTGACTTCAGAGGCCGAGGAAGAAATCTCTAGCCAAAGGTTCTGCACCTACGGCTCGAAGAGGGAGAGATGGATTCTAGCGGGGGGCTGTGCAGGGCTGGGGATAAGTCCCTCCCCACCCCCACTCCGTGGCGGGGCCAGCCTTGGTCCTTGACCCACCAGGAGCAGCCAGGAGCAAGGAACACCGCGGCGAAAGGAAAGTTTGCAGTGCTGGGCTTCTGGCCTCTCAAGGCCAAGGGCAAGTCCACCCCCTCCTTTCCCCAGCAGCTCCCTGAAGACCCAAGAGGGTGAGGAACAGAATAGGTGGGAAGCTTGATACCTCCCTGGCGAATCCGGTGTGTGTGAGTCATAACGCTGAAAAGCACTTTGGAAGAGAAACAGGGTCATGGTGACGCCTGTGCGTGTCACCGGCTGCGCACTGGCCGTCCAGGTACGCCCTCCACCTGAGCCTGCCCAGGGTGGAGGGATCCCTGCAGGCTGCTGCGGACCCTCGGTCCCACCTGCTTGCCTCCTAACACCTACCGGTTCCCGTGGCTTTGCAAAAACAGCCACCTTCCCAGCCAGGGGGCTGCCCGCGTGCCCATGCCAGGGCCCCCCAGGAAACACTGGGGTGGATTTCCCTTCTAGACTGGACAGCCCCCCACCCCACCCCAGCCTCCAGCTGCAGGTCAGTGGCCTGAGCCCTTCCTCGGGCTCCTGGACCCCGGGGTCGGCCCTTCCTAGGGCATTTCAAGTCCGACTGGAGGAAGCCAGCGCCGGGCTGAGGCAGCCGCACCGCCATAGGGCGGCCGGCTAGGGGGCGGGGGCACACGAGGGCACTGCGATCAGGCCCGGGCGCCGCCTGAGCGGACCCTGGCCTCTCTCTCTGCTTTCTCGGGCAGCTTGGCCTTTGAAGCCCTAGCACCCCCCTACTCTGAGCTTGACTGCGAAGGCATGCGCGGGTCCCTGGAGCCTGGGAGGAGCTGCCACCCCTCCCCCGATCCTACCCACAGGACAGCGGGAGGGTCGCTAGGGCTTCCCGCGGGGGACTCTGCGCCATCCAGCGGCCCCGGCCCCACAGGAGCCCGGATCCTGGCCGCGCGGTGGGTGCAGATGCGGGGCCAGGGCCCGGAGCAGGGGGCGGTCCCCTGCCTGCCGGTGCAGCCCGGGTTGGGAAAGTTGGTGCGGGCTTGGGGTCTGGAGGCACCTGGGCAGCCCGAGCTGGGCAGATTATGGGACGGTGAGCCCGAGGCAGCTCCCGAGTGCGCTCGGCGGCCCAGGGAGCGCCGCGCCTCTCAACTTTGCCGCCCTCCCCACAGCGGCGTGCGCGCGGCGGCGGCGGGGTGGGGGGGTTGTCCGCTACGATCGCGGGGCGCTCCGGCCACCGACCCTGGCAGCCCCGCCTGTGGCCAGGCCAGCACGCCGCCGGCCCCCGCCCCCGCCCTCGGCACACCGCCGCTGGCGACCGTCCCCGAGCCGAGGGGCGGCTCCCACCGCGCCCGCGCCCGCGCCCCTCCCGGCAGCTGCAGCGGAGTCCGCGCCCGCCCGCCCCGGGGCCCGGCGGGCCGGCAGATACCTGGTCGGGGGCGCGCCGGGAGCCGCTGCGGCGCCCAGCGCCGGCTCCATCCTCGGGTCTGGAGTCAGGCTCGCCGGGGGCCCGCGGGCAGCGGCGGCGGCGGCGGCGGCATCCTCCGCCTCCCGCGCCCTCCTCCTCGGCCTCCCGCCTCCCTGCTCTTCCTCCGCCTCCGCGCGCCCCTCACGGGCCCCTCTTCATGGCCTGGGGGCGCGAGCCCCGGGCGGCTCGAGCAGCCGAGTTCGTCCTCCGGGGACCGGGACGCGGGGACCCGAGGGGTGATGGGAGCCGGGGCCAGGGACCCAGGGCCTCGCAGCCCCGGGCGCGGGAGCAGAGCAGCAGCCGCAGGCGCCGGAGCCTCGCGGAGCGCCCGCCTCGGGTCCCCGAGCCGAGAGCAGCAGCGGCAGCGGCGGCGGCGGCGGCGGCGGCGGCGGCGGCTTCAGCGCCGAGCGAGCAGCGGGCGCTGCGGCCCCGACTCCACCCCCAGAGCCGCCCGCCCCTCGGCTGCCGCCCGCCCCCTGCCCCTCCCCACCCCTTCGCCGCGCGCCCTCCCGCGCCCCGCGCCGCGCCGGCCGCGAGCGCTCGGGACACCCGCTCCGCAGGCCGCCGCCGGTGCCAACCCCCGCCCACCGCGGAGCTGGGGGCCGCGGAGCCACGCCCCCCGGCTGGGGCTGCCTGCGGGCTAGGACGCAGGCCGCGCGCCGGCCCCTGTGCCAGTGCCCCGCTTCCCCCAGCCCGAGGGCGCTGCTCTTAGTACTGCCCACGCCCCCGCCCCCGAAGTCCGGACCGGGACCCACGCGTCCTCTGCCAGTGCCAGGGCAGGACCCCTGCCCGCAGCCCACCACCTTTGGGTGCCAATAGCCAAGCCCCGCCCCGCCCCTTTACTTCTCAGTGGTCCCTCCCGGGGAGCGGGGTCCAGGGTGGCCCCCGGGAGCAGTGGCTTGGTGTGCTGAAGGACCCGCGCCCACCTGCTCCCTAGGCGCCCGCGGCCAGCGCTGCGGAGCCACTGCCACCGGGAGGAGGGAGACCCCCTGCAGAGCGCCCCGTACTGAGCAGCTCCCAGGGCTATCCACATGGACACCAGGGACTGGTTGGGTACAAGGCAAACGGGTGCCCCAGCTTTCCCAGTGCGTGGAGGAGATCAGGGATGGGCCATGAGTGATCTTGTGATCAGCCAGCCCGGGTGATGTGCCTTCCAAATGGCGGGGAGTCCCAGCCCTGCCATTAAGGTTCAGGGTGACCCAGGCTGGTGGCTCCTGGACCTGTTGGGTCATCCCGGGAAGGGGCAGGTGTTTGGCTGGCTGACCCTCTGACCTCCCCACCTGAGACCCAGTGATCACCTTCTGAGGCCCCGGGGCACAGTCTGCTTGCATCGGAGCCCATCTCTGAATTCTCCCCCAATGAATTCCAGCTGAAGCTTCTCCATGGTTCCAGAAAGGGGCAGGGGCGGGGGGCGGGGGCAGCAGGGCGATGGACGGCTGGACACCTCCAGGAGCATCCTCAGACCCTCACCAAGGTCTGGGAAGGTGGCTGCCGCCCCACCTCACACAGCAGATCGGGGTGAGGCCAGCCTGCCAAGGGTTTGCTGTGTGACTGTGTGCGCCAGGCAATCTCTCTGTGCCTCGGTACCCGCACACAGAAGATGGAGAACCCAGTGCTCACCTCGTGGGGCGGGCTGCGGCGAGCACCAGATGTTTGCAACATGGGTATAATCTGGCTGGTGGGGGTTTGGAGCATCCAGGACCGAGCTGTCAGTGACCGGGAGGAGAGACTCGGATTATCAAGAAAGTCCCCAGAGAACCAGGTGGCACGAAGCCTCTAACCCAAGAGTCACACCAGACCAAATGGCCCCTGATCTTGGTCAAGACTGCAAAGTCATAATTATAACCCCCACCCCACCGCACCCGAAGCCACGGGCCCAGCGTCATCAGGCAGTGGCTCACAGGGGCCTCTGCCTCCGGCCCCCACCCTTGGCTCCAAGGCGGCTGGAGCTGTTTCACCACCTGCCCCCAGGGGGTGGCGCTGTTCTGGGGACACCAAGGGCCACGGCCGTCTAGACTGCTTGCTCTCCAATTCTCTCCCCCCACGCACACCTCCCTGGAAAACCGAGCTCCTGTTGCCCCCCCCAGGGGGGTGGGGTGGGGGGCTGAGCAACCAGAACCTTCCCTGTCACCCAGAGCTAATCCCGGCCCACGCCGTCAGCCTGCAGAATCGGAGCGGTTGAGAGAGCGCGTTCCCTATGTGGATCCATGCCTGCTTTCCCAGATCCGGGTGTATTTTGGGCGGAGAGGAGGGAAATGTGCACCGGGCTGACACAGAGAGCTTGGTGCGGTCGTAATGCAAACATGAGTGGGATCCGGAGGGCTGTTGTTGGGTGTTGTTGTTGTTTAAAGAACATTTAGAGTCTAAAAATGGACAAAAGACCCGGTCTCAGGAACACTAGGATTCTGTTCCCAGTTTCCTGGAGTCTCCCACTGGGCCAGTGTGGCGTTTCGTAGACACAAACTGCTGGAGGCACTGTGCTGTGGCAGGTGCCGGGTGGAAGCAAGGTAACTGAAGCAGGGGCAATTGTTATTATAATGCACCCTTGGGAGCCACAGGAAGGTGGAACCTTGGAGAGTCATTCTGGGAGGGCTTCCTGGAGGAAGAGGGAGCTGGCTAAGGTTTCAGGGATGCACAGTACCTGGACGGGGCTTATTCGTGAGACAGTAAGGAGATGAATGGCTTGTGTTTGGGGGTCTCACCATGTGCCAGGCACTGCGTTGTTTGCTTTCCTGGGGATTGGTTTTGTTGAACGCCACGAAGGCAGTACTGCTGTTTCCATTTCACAGATGAGGAAGCTGAGAGTCAAAGGGGAGGCACGCCTTGCCCAGGTGTGCAGAGCCCAGGGAGTGCCCAGCTGCCTAACCAGGGAGGTGCCTGCGGGGACAGGCAGGGCGACAGGCAGGCCAGGGAGGGCGGTGGCCGGTGGTAGGACGCCCCCTGCTAGGGTCGCTCCCTCTTCACCCATCAGCTCGCGGGTCCCTGGGGGGACTGGGAGGTTTGCTGGGGGACCTGGGGGCTGGCGAGTGTCGCTGCTTAATACCTTGCAGCTGTCCGTGCCGTGGCGGCCTGTGCCACCCACCTTGTTATTTCAGTCTGTTCTGGGAGATTGATGCCCTGGGCTTTGATTTAAGATCTGCGGCTGCGATCCTCAATTTCCCATGTCTCACGGGGCCTGCTGACAAGGCGGCGAGCGCTTGGGCCGTGGCAACTGGCTCTCCCAGACTCCCCACTCAGGAGCCCACGGCGCCTGTCCAGAAAGTCCCAACCAGCAGCTCCTGGGCAGGGACAGGTGTTGTGGCGGCCGCAGGTGAAGCTGCGGCTTGGGGGGCCCGCATCCCGGATGGGGGTGCCTGGGATCCGGTGCTGTCTCTGCTTCTGTTCCAGCCCCCTGCTAATGTGCCTGGGGAGAAGATGGCAGAAGATGACGCAAGTGCTTGGGCCCCTGCACCCACGTGGGGGCCGAGATGGAGTCCTGGGCTCCTGGCTTTCGTTTGGCCCAGCTCGCTCTCGCGCGCTTGCTCTCTCTCTCTCTCTCATTCTGTCTTTCAAGTAAATGAAACTTTCTTAAAAGTTTGTGGACAAAGAGAACTAAAAGATAATTTGGGGGGGGGGGGCGGCTAGGTAGAGGCAGGCCCACTGTTGCTGCCCGGGAAGTCCGCCCAAGGCATGCTGGTGAGCCAACTGCGGCCCGCCTGGGCTGCGCGGTCACCCACGGCCACGCAGGAAACACACTGAACCTCCCGCTGAGTCTGCAGCTTTGGGGCGACCAGGCCTCTCCTCACCGCGTCTGCCTCAACTCTGCCCTCTTCTGGGCGAAGTCGGGGGATCCGAACCTCTCAGTGGCGGCAGTAACCTGAGAATCCCACCGCCTTGCCTCGGGCTGGCCACAGGGCGTCCCCACACCCGGGGCCAGCCCAGCTCTGACCCCTAAGGCCACTGGGCGGTGCCAGGCTGTGCCAGCTTCCTGAGAGTCCGCATCAGCATGAAAACCCATCAGCTCCTCCGGCTGAAGCCCCTTGGAAAGCTCCCTCACTCCGCCAGCCATGGGGCCTCCCGGGGACCCCTGTCTCTGGCAGGCAGCCCTGCTCATCGGTCATGTCCTCCGCTCTGGCCCTCAAAACTGCCAGAGGCCAAAGGTCCATTTCAAAGAACGCCCACCGCACCATGGTGTTGTGGCATAGCGAGTTCAGCTGCGCACGCACCGAGTTCGAGTCCCGGCTGCTCCACTTCCGATCTGGCTCCCTGCTAATGACCTGGGGGAGCAGCAGAGGATGGTCCAGGTGCTCGGACCCCTGCCATCCAGGCAGGAGACCCGGATGAAGCTCCAGGCTCTTGGATTGGGTCTGGCCCAGCCCCGTTTACTGTAACCATTTGAGAAGTGAACCAGCAGATGGAAGACCTGTCTGTCTGTCTGTCTCTCTCTCTCTCCGTCACTGCCTTCCAAATAAATCTTAAAACACACACACACACACACACACACACACACACAGGAGTGCCCCCCTGCCTTGCCAGGCCTCCCTAATTAGGGTCCTTGGCCAGGCCGGGGGCTCCTGGTGCACCCACAGCCCGAGTCCTTGGGCTGCTAGAGTGATCTCTTCACTGACACCGGAACCCTGGGGCTGGGCCCTGTGCTCTCTTAAGACCTTTGCAGCCAGTGTGTCCTGCTGACGGCCGCAACCCTCAGCCCAGGCCTCGAATCCCTGCTGAGACCAAAGACCCGCACCATTGCCTCTTCCCTCTCTCTCTCTCTCTCTCTCTGCCCAGAGACAGAAGGAACCCTTCCTGCTCTACTTACAAAACAAAAGCCCCCAGGGCAATGAGGGCACGCCAGCAAACCCTGCTGAACCGGAGGAAGCCGAGATTAGCTGCAGTAAGGAGCCAGGCCCCGACTCGCATCCTTGTCTGCGACGCCCCCTGCAGGACACATCAGCCGCCCAGCCCTCAGCAGCCACTGTGGGGCCGTGGGCTTCCTGGGCCTTGCAGGGGAGAAAGGCAGGCGTGGGGGAGACCTGGGCCTTGGCCATGGCCATCCCCAGGCTCCTCTCCTCTCCTCTGGTCTCCCGTGATACATCCCGGAGCTTGCCCGGGTTCTCCAGGGGAGGAGGGGCGGAGGAAACCCCACGGTCAAGTCCAGGCTGTGGCCGTCCCCTCAGCCAGGGTCCCGCACAGAAGCCGACCCTCCCTGGCCAGTGCCACACCTGCCCCAGTGGGTCTTAGGCAGGTTCTTCCCTCCTGCCCCCCCCCACAGCTGGCACCAGGGCAGATCCTGAGACACTGGGTGCCGGAGCCCTGGGGAGACAGACACTCAAGGCCTCAGCCCCTGTGTCTAGTCGGCAGATGGGATCCAGAGATGACGGCCCAGGCCCCGGGGCTGGGGAGGTGACTCAGGAGTCCTGAGCAGGGGGCAGAGC